AGGAAAACGATCTTACGAAGTGCATGGCATTCCTCAAGATCCAGCAGTAAGGGCTTTTACGTCACGAGGCTAAAGATATCCAAGTAGCTTTTTATATGTGCACCACGAAGAGACTCTTTTTCCCTTCTTGGACCCACGCGTGTTTATTTCATAAGTCTTCCGAAGAGATTATAAACTGCAGTTTATGTTCGCTTTGTCGTCTTCGGTCTTATTCAACAAGCTCATGGCTCAGGGGTGTGACGACAAGGGGATCGCCTTGTTCTTGTTGCAAACTCCATTTCTACCGTCTCTCGAGTCGGGTCTTGGATTGTTCGGGGTAAACGCGTGGGTTCAAATCTTTAACGCGTGGTGGTAATCGAACTTATCGCGGTACTATGAGGATGATGTGTTATTCGTCACCAAGCTCTTATCAAAGCTCGGAAGTTATCTGCTCTCAATATTTATATCTCTGTGTCAGATTTCAAGATCGTTACTTTGGTTTTAATCTTTGTCTCATAAGTACGCGCAAAATCCCTCGGTCAGTAATCTCCCTTAATTGATTGCGGTATAGTCTAATATGACGTCACGTCTCACTGAACATAAGTTGAGGGTTTTCCCGACTGTCGCTTCCAGACGACATTTGACAGTTTCAAATTTGCATATTTGCATTGACGCTCATCTAAATTCGTTCACTTCGGCAAAGTTGCGATGTGAACGTTGTACGTCTTCTTACTCCAACGATTAGAGGGCAAAAGATTTAGACACACGAAACATTTTTCAAGCTAACCTTGGTGAGTTTGTCCGGGGTTTGTCAATTTTTATAATTGTTTACATTTCGCTTTAATTCATCGAAGTCGAACAGGCCTCGACGTATTCTGAAAATCGTAATTCTGATCGCATCTCGTAGAATTCTTCAGTCACATGATTGTTGTAAGGGAAAGACCCGCTCGAAGCCTGACTTACTGATGTGTGATGCGTATATTTCCTTCAGGTCCCTGTACTTCATGTTTTCTCGTGATCGTTTTATTTTAACTGAATACGACCTTTGTCTGTCTTCAATTCACGCGCCATCTTAGTTGTGTGCCTAACAAAAATGGCGCGTGACAAAGGGATTATTCAGTTCAAAAAACACACATGAGGGTTTCTCACATACAACTTGCTTGTAAACATCGCAACTTTCAAAGCTTGATGTTTCTTTCTACGTTTTTAGTGGGAGGAATTTTCAAGACAAGTATTAGAAACTGGTGTTCTTGAATAACATTTTGACTGTCTGATTTTCAGTCTAGGAGACGAAAAGAATTTTTTACCCTTCCTTTCTGAATGAATCTTTGTTTCGTGGGTTACAAATGTTCGCAAATTTGATTGCAACAACGCAGACATGCAATTGAGACAGAGCGTGTTATTTATTTAAGGTTGCGGCTAAATAGCAGGGCACGTTCTGGAATGATTAATAAATGCTCTGCAGTCAAAAATTTACATATAAGTTCCCCTTAGGGTATGAGATGTTTGTTCGGTAATGTCACGCGATTTCAAAACGTTTGGAAAACATTTCAGATCAGATTTCCGGGCACGGTCTGGAACTGAGAACAGATGTTTTGGATGTTGCTGTTTTCTTTTGAAATTTTTTGTTAATTGTGCGAAAGAGAAATTTTTCAGCGGCGATTATCAATATCCACGCTTTCTTTCAAAAACTGTTCAGAGACAAATTTTAAGGAACGGAATAAATTGATGATAATGAAAGAAGTGATACATGACACTTAAAGAATGTTTTAAAACCAAATGTTACTCATTTCATAAACAAGTGATTGAGTGTTACTTTAAATTCCTTGAGATTAATGAAATTTTAATGTTTACTTTAAAATCAATAAATTGGAAGTTTCTGAGAAGTTAGACGTTAAGCGCTTGAATTTTTCAGGGTCCAAGTCACTACTCAATTCCGAACGGCAAAGGAACCCAGAGTTGAACATCCATTTAAAAAAGGTTTTCATTTTATTTTTCGAAAGTAATGAAGGTTTGCTCAGTAGAGAAATCTCGATCAGACAAAGCACTTGCCACGCTTTTCAATTTAGCGGCTGCAGCGAAACTGACAAAGCATATCAAAGAATAATTTCATGACCATAAGGCGCGTCCAGCAGGTAATGAATCTGTTAGGTTTCAAGTGAAAATTTGCATGAATATTGGTGGCGAGTGTGCAGCCAACTCCCCAGCTAAGACAAAGGAATATCCGAGAATATCACCTAAGTTATGCTGGCCAATTTTCAAATCTTACGTTCACTACGATAATGCAAATGTTACATAAAATGAGAAATAATTGTTTGTTCATAGAGTAGAACCAGAGAACACCAAAAAGAATACACCCCACGCCGAAAACAGTGAGCTGTTCGTAAACCCCACGCGCTGCAAAATTTTTGAAGGATAAGAAACATAATAGCCTCTATTCTACGCGAAAATACGTTCGTATGTTTGTCCTTGAACAGTATCTGTTGCTCGAAGGTCACTTCTTTCCTTGTCATCAATTCATTTTGTTCTTTGAATTTTGAACATTTTTGATAGAGTACTTTGATGTCGATGAAAAATATATGTAAATCTAAAACCAAAAAAAAAAAAAAAAAAATTATTTCCCTTTTAACTTTCTATTTACCTTTTTATTTTCCCATTCTCGATTCCCTATTCGTGCTGTTAGTGACATTCTGATTTTTTCGCAAAATAAACAAAAATTTGCCTTTTGCACCCGCGCCCTAATTTCACTAGTTGTGCGGTATTTTTACGAGGCCGAAGGGAGAGTGACAAAACAGACGATGAAAAATACTTAAAATTAATTCTGTAACGTTCAATGTATGATTCACACGTATATTAATGGATCATTTTCCCAACAGATTGTGTCAGCGTTACAGAATTTGTATGATAACTGACCTCTTAATTTGGCAGCTATACATCTCTTGTTTTAGATATTAGTGCCACAAGCTTTAGCGTCGGTGATCCCATTCTCAAATTGAAATTGGGTGATTAAACACGGGTTTATGACTAAAAATCGCCAAAATTAACACCAGAGGCCAAAAATATTTTTATCCTCAAACGTATTATTAGGATAGGTCTTTTCTGTGATAGTACGTTTGTCGACATACAATGTTGTCGATTGGAGATATTTGTGATTAAAAAACCCAATTTGTTTGTTTTTGTAATAGTTGCGTGACAAGTTAATGATTAACTGCTATTAATTGGCAGAAGTTATATCAAATTACCCCAACTTTAGGAAACTGTTTCTTTAAGGTTCAAACAACCATTGGCCATCGCATTCTGTCAGTGTGAGAGAGATTCGTTGATATTTCGAGCTAAGTTTACCTTTTAACCCAGGAATTTGATGTGGGGACTTTTAACACCCCAGGGATTAGCCAGAAGCCCGAACTACTTTGGATTTTTGAATAACTTAGTGACCAATGTAAACTGTGAAAGTTTGAAAGAAATCGGTGAGATGACATGTGTCACGCCTGCCCGGTCCTCTCGTAGACAGCCTGACTCTTAACATGTTCATAATATCACATGGACATATTAGGAAGTCACTAAAGACGAAATGCCAGCCTGCTGCAGGACCGCGGTGAGAACGCAAGTAACGCGC